AAAGATATGTTAAGATGTAGAGACCTATGAATTAAGGATCAAAGGAAAAACGAAAACTGCATCCTATCGTGCTAATTGGCTATTAAAGTACTGAATAAACACTCACAGAACCCTGTGAAGTAACCATTACCCACTTTCATTCTAAGGATGAGGAAAGAAGGCCTCAGAAAAGTTAATGATTTCTGCCTAGCTAGTAACTGGAGGAAATAAGAGATATGAATCCCAAGTTCTTATCACTTCCAGTCCTGTCATCTCATATATGAAGGTACCTATTTCTAATACCAGAAAACCTGAAAACAATTCAAATATCCAACAGGACGTAATTAAGCACCGGTGCACATTTATTTCAAGATAAAATGCTACATGTGGACTCTATCAATATAAAAAAACAACAGAAACAAGAACTACAAAATCATTATACTTATGTTTTAAAGAATAAGCCTATCTGAAAAGCTCATGAAGTGAAGAAAAATGTAGGATATATACATAAACTACAGGGTTTTGTTTTTTAATTAAAAAACTATATACAGTGACCAGAAGGATATATAAGAAATGTGAATAGTGGTTAGTGTTCTCTAGACGGCTAGATTATATATTATATTTTCTAAGTAGGCAAGTATTTTTAATAAAAATTCTATATAAATGACAACTATGTAATGACAATGTATCGAATTACTGAGCTATAATGCTATATCAAATAACCCTCAATTTTTGTGCTTACTACACTTCTCCAGGTCCTAAGGAAAGTATAAAAGCTATCTTTTTTTTTTGGAACAGAGTCTCACTTTGTTTCCCAGGCTAAAGTGAGTGCTGTGGCATCAGCCTAGCTCACAGCAACCTCAAACTCCTGGGCTCAAGCAATCCTCCTGCCTCAGCCTCCCAAGTAGCTGGGACTACAGGCATGTGCCACCATGCCTAGCTAAGTTTATATATATATATATATATATATATATATGCTGGCCAATTAATGTCTTTCTATTTATAGTAGAGACAGGGGTCTCACTCTTGCTCAGGCTGGTTTCGAACTCCTGACCTCGAACAATCCGCCCGCCTCAGCCTCCCAGAGTGCTAGGATTACAGGCATGAGCCACCGCGCCTGGCCTAAAAGCTATGCTCATGACATGCTTCTTCTGTCACTCACTGCTGTGTTTTTCATTTTAACTTTAATATAGCAGCTTTATAAAGTTAACATAAAAAAGTTAGCTAAAATCTCACATATTTTGTCATTTCATTCTCCTACATGCAAAAGATAGGTGTTAACCTTCCTAACACCATGAAGAGACTGAATTATACAATACTACCAAAATCAAAGACCTAATAAAAAATTCTTTAGGGAAGGAGTGGGGAGAAGGATCTCCTGCAACTATAAATCATTTTTAGGACAAGTGATAATTGTTTAGGGAGGGTCGCTTTCCTGTGTTAGGCTGTATCAATGCAACAAAATACTTCATAAATATATTTTAAGAGGTTTCTGCATAGCAAATGCTCATGATAAAAAACGTTTTTCAATGGTTTATCTTTCCTTTGGCCTATGTCAAGTCAAGAGGCAACTATATAAGAGGTTCACTAATGCATTAAAAATTGATGACAGTTTTTAAAAATTTAAATAAAATAACAAAGCCCTTTATTTACAAGGCCCTGAATTGCTTTGCTGAAATTCAAATTTTAAACGATAACTTAGGCCGGGCGTGGTGGCTCACGCCTGTAATCCTAGCACTTTGGGAGGCCAAGGCGGGCGGATTGCTCAAGGTCAGGAGTTCGAAACCAGCCTGAGCGAGACCTCGTCTCTACCAAAAATAGAAATAAATTAATTGACCAACTAAAAATATATATACAAAAAATTAGCCGGGCATGGTGGTGCATGCCTGTAGTCCCAGCTACTCAGGAGGCTGAGGCAGAAGGATCGCTGAGCCCCGGAGATTGAGGTTGCTGTGAGCCAGGCTGATGCCACGGCACTCACTCTAGCCTGGGCAACAAAGTGAGACTCTGTCTCAAAAAAAAACACAAAAAAAACAAAAAAACAAAAAAAAACACACTAGAATAAGAAAACAATTGGTAATCCTTTCATATTAGTTTCTCCCACTTCTTCCATGAAGGCCTGGCAAAAATTCCAGCTAATCTAGATTTCTCTTCTTAGAAGTGAAGCATGTGATTGATTTCAAGAGGTGACTATTATATAGACACTGAATTCTGTGGGGGGTTTGTGAAGTCACTTTCATTATTTATAAAGTAATGAACCACTCACAATGTCTTAAATTGTTTTATGTGGATTAATTTCACTAAATTACCCTTACAACTTGATAATTGAAGCTGTCACTTTTTGTCTTCTACAAAAGTGCTACTCAAAGTGCTTATATGCAAATCTGTGTCCAGTGTTGAAACGAGACAAGGAACTTTTTTGCCAGAAGGTCAATTACTTCACACTTCACTCATCTTACAGATTAGCTCAGCTGATCTTCACTAAAGGAAGCAGTACACTGATTTATATTCCAATGAAAGCTGCTTATCTTGTTGCAGACCATAAACTGTTTGAAGCAGCTACCACTCTACTAGACAATGCTTTGAATAGCAATGCCCTACATAATCTAGTGTATTGCTTTTCCTGGTACGAAGTGTTCATGAGATTATTTGGGAGCATAATACTTCAATTAGTCACTAAAAAAGAAATACAAACTTAGCTAGAGTCTTGTATCGAATAAATGGTAGGGCATAAAATTGTCTCTGAGTCATCTTCCTTATGTTCTACTTTATCCTATAGGAGTCCTGTGCCTGACATACTGAAACCACTGAAAAGGAGAGGGCATGGAGGAATGCATAGCTGTGAGTGACACTTTTGCTCTTTAACAAAAACAGAATCACCAAGGAACGTTAAAAGAGTTCTGCTTTCACTTCATCATGTCTTTGTACATACCAGAAATGTCTAGTAGCACTGTAAGATTTCATGCTAACTACCAAATATCACAATTGTACAACTAAACTTCTTTTAAAACAGACATTACCAAAATGGAAACGTCAAAGATTTAAATAAGATCTAATATGCATAGAATATTTTACTGTTGGCTCACACTTTTATTAAGCTTCAAAAGTGTCTGAATCTTACTCCATAAACTTACCCTTCATGGGTAGATGGTTCGCAAGCAGAAGCTTCAAGTCCTTGAATAGGGCTTAAGTGATTTAGTTCTGAAAATGCATCCTTTGCCACTAAGAGATCCTTTGTCTCTGCATCTTCTAAAGTGCCTATAAATCATACAGATAAGAATATTATTTATGCTAAATGTTTGGCAATTACTAGTGGTCTTGGACTATTATTTTTTAAAGTTGTTGAGTCTGGTTTTCTGTTCTTTTAGTTTTACTCCCGTGTTACCAGACTGCCAGTACTTCAATCTTCTAATTCTCTGAGCCTAAATCAAGAGCTCCCCTCAACCTCCCACTTCTCAAGTTTGGCTTAACAGGCACTTAAACATGCAAGTGTTTTACATATATTAACTCACTTAATGCTCAATATCCAAACAGGTCCATGAGAAAACTGAAGCATAAGCATACATTGCTGTCACAAAGTTTGCTACTTAGTAAGTAGCTAAGCTAGGATTCAAATTTAGCCTGTTTCACACTAGAGTTCATGTTATATTCCCCCTCACAGAAACAATAAAGATTACTACTTGAGACTGCCTAATACTGTAAGAATAACCAATGAAGACAGTATTACGAACATTCTCAAATATTATCATTTAAATATTTAAACAGAACATGGCACATCAAAAGAGCAATGTAAATTTCTAGACATATGCTAATTAGGAGTGTCTTAAAGTTCTTAGAACAATTAATAATTCTTATGTTTACTAAATAAAGATACCATAGTACAAACTTCACTGGACTCACATCTTAAGATAACTTAGTTCACCCTAGGCAGAAAATATTTTCCAAAAGAAACTGCTTATGACACAGATTTTTATTTAAGTATGATTTTACAGGTTTAAAGTTAGGAGTTACTTTAAATAAACTGGTTAGAATTGTGTCAGGTATAAGAAACATAAAAATAAGCTTGGTTTTCTGATTGACCAATTCTAGGCCAAGTCTCTCCTCTTCCTGGTGTTCCTCTGGCCCCTCCTATGTCTCCTAGCATGGCACTAACCAAACTGCACCATTCATTACAAATGCTTGTTTGTCAACATCGTCCACTACGCACTACATGACATGTGGGCAGTTATGATGTCTACTTTACTGACTGACTGATCTTCAACACCTAGCATACATATAGGGGGAGCTACCTGGAGCACATACATTAGGTACTCAAAAAAATATTTTGGTAAGTAAATGAATATAAAGACAATAAATTCATGGGTCTTTTGGACATTTATTTGGATTGTCCAGTGATTATTTTAGAGGTAGGGATGGAGAATAGAATGAAATTTCTCATTTCTGAGAATTCTAGAAAGTTGGGGTGGCTGAATAAAAATTGCAGTAACAATCTAGTCTATTAAGTTAATATGGTTATTTCTCATAGCTATGAGAAGGCATTTCAAGTCAGCCTATATAGCATCTTATGTTTCCTTCCTTTTATATTACTGTTGTTTTCCAAATTTCATGGCCAAATAAAAAGTAATACACATAAGCACTCTTCCTATCAAATCTTATACCTACTTATGAAACAATATAAGCTATACTTGTAAGCTGAAAGAATAGATTTGTGCATTATGTCTAGGACCTAGTACACTGTGAGCATATAATAATTTAATCCTGATATTTTTCTCATGGTGGAAAAAAATTCTATTACAAATTTTATTAAGGAATATCAATAGCAATCGTGACTATGTGGAAATGAGTTCTTACCCATTTGTTTCTCCAGGTTTGAAGGAGTTACTTTTGACTCAAACATATCTTTCTCACTGTCCTTTTCAGTTTGTTCAGTTAAATTCATAATTTGTTCAGAGGAAGAGCTTGTTGGCTTAGAGGCCATGAAAACACTATTTTCAAAGTCTTCTGGTGATGGTGCATCCTGATACTCTAAAGTAGTTTCATCTGATCTGGCTGAAGTATTGCTGTTTTCTTTGCTCATGTCCAGTGTGTCCAAACTTTGTGAGGGTGTATCCTGTGACCTCACTTCCATTTCTTGATGGTCCTTTTCAGGGCTATTCAGGGAAAAAGATGTGGTCTTATCTTTGCTCTTCAGCCATTCAGTTTCTATTGCAACTTCACATTTTTGAAAAGGTGTAGTAACAAATACTTTTGTTTTGTTATCTTCTGCAGTCTGTAATATAAGATTTTGAAAAAAAAAAATTAACCAGTAAATATCAATCTAGTTCAAAAGCTACCCATCCCAATCATACCCACCCTTTCAATGCTCTGTATTTCTCCAAACTCTCTTCTTAATCAAAATTCACTTATTCCAAATCTGTTCTCTTCAGATACATAATTAAAAGTTAATGATTCCCTAATTGGTAATATATCAGAATTTTCAGAAGACTAAAACATAGCACAGGCTAGTCACCAAATGGGTTCCTATTAACCTACAGTGGAGCTCTGAAGATACACCCTCCTACATAGACAACCAGTTAGAAACTTAATAAGAGAAGCAACACAATATAAAGGCAAACAAACAAGAAAACACAGACTCAGAATTAAGAGGTCTGGATTCTAGTCCCCTTTCTGCTACCAAATAGTTGACTGTAGGCAACTTATTGGTGCTTCAGAGCCCTTTTTTCTTTTTAACCTGTAAAATGGTGAGTTTCATTTAGCCAGTGCCCTAATGTTTCTTTCAGGACTTATCTTTCATGACTATCTGCATGATTGCGTATAAATATCCATGGTGATATTGTTTAGTCTTTTCTCCCAATTATTAGCAAACTTACCCCAGCAGTCCACTTTGTGTTCATGTCTTCTTCCATGAATGAAATTCTAGTTTCTTTAAGTCGTAAAGGAGGAGTAAGAGACCTTCCAGGTGATAAAGAGGGTGACGCTAAAGGTGTTGTTCGAAGACCAGACCTTAGGATAGACTGAGGTGTGAACTCAGCAAATCCAGAAGAAGTAACTGACATAGCCAAAGTTTTAGCTTTCTATGACAAAGAACAAAGAGAATCACACCATTAGTGTCTGTTAGAGGCAATTCGATAAAGTACAGAGGGGGGTCAGTGGAGTCACAATAGTGGTTTTATTCTCACCTCCAATAAACACATGAATAGAAGTTTTTATTCCAGATTACTGAAAACATAAAATTCTACCAGAGCTTTCTATATGAAAGGCTACAAAACATAAAATTGTATTTATTATTTATCTAAAGGCCTTGGTTATTTCCAATTTAAATTCAGCTAAAAAATGGTCAATTAGTAAGATAAATTATTTAATGCTTATAAAATTTCAGTTAGATAAAAGAGATAATATGTGAGGAGCAGAATGTAGATTAACTAATTATAGGAAGCTAATCTAAATTAACAATAAGACTGACTTTAGTATTTTTAGAAAAAAATAAAATTTCATCACTTGAATCCAGTAATAACCAAATTACTTATTAGAATCCTCTTAAGATTTAGTATAATAAAAATAATTTGAAAATAGCATGTAAATCATTTAGAAATAATTCTTTCACGTGTCCTCTAAAGGCCTAGTAACAGATTATTGAATCCCATTAGATTATTGACTTCTATTAGACATATTACAAGATTACACTGATATTTTTTCTAGACTATTTTGGCAGCATTTATTCCTCAATTTCATTTCATATGAAGCTAGTTGTAGAGAATTCAAAATGTGATTGTTTTTTCATAGATTAAAAAAAAGAAATACTGAAGTTTGATGAACTTAATCTTGTCAACCTTTCAACCCCCTTTATTAACTATTTTAGGAATAATATTTATTGGGGTTTCTTTTATTCAAATTGGAAAATAAGAATTCCCTGGCTTCACTATAAATGCCAGAGAACCCAGAAAGAAAAAATCTAAGTTTAAGAAAAAAATGAAGAAAACTTCTGGGTCCAATCAAGACTATTGGACAAGGAGCTAGGGGAATAACAAGTATTAATAAAAACACTTTGAGATGGTAGGACAGGCATGGTGGCTTATGCCTATAATCCCAGCACTTTGGGAGGCTGAGCTAGGAGGATCGCTTGAGGCCAGGAGTTCAAGACCACCCTGTACAACATAGCAAGACCCCCATATCTACAAAAACAAACACCATAAATACATACGTGACTGACTGAATGAATGAATGAGAAGATATAAGATCACTACCAGTCAACACAAGTTTAATTTTGTGGTTTCTCAGCAAATAACTTACAGGGGAGTGGGAGAGAAAAGGCAATTTAAAGGCAGATAAACTAACAGTAGGAAGGAGTAACAATTTATAGTTTCATAATAGGAGTCAGAAAATTTAAATAAAAATAAACCTAAGAACTAAAAAGCATTTGACAGAAGGAAGAAATAACAGCATAATGGTATCAGCAGTGGAGCTTATGTAAAAATAAAATAAAAACAAACCCAAGAACTTGAAACCATTTTACAGAGGACAAAGACCTATTTATAATTATTATACAGAGGCTTGTACTACATCAAAGATAGTAATGTGATTGTTAACTTTAACCAGGAAAGAGTAAATTTAATCCATCATGAAAATATAGTAATCATTCAGGAGTATCTATAAAAAGTAAAAAAAAAAAAGTTTAAAGCTGTTGATTAGTGAGAGAGATGAGTTATAAATAACTTATTTTCTCCTTGCCATTTGAAAAATAAGTCCCTAGCTTAATTACAAATGCTTGAGATGCAATACTAACCTTAACTACAAGAGGAGTTTCAAGTAAATGTAATTCTGAAGTCCTGGAGGAATTCTGACGTGATCCTTTTAATTGTGAACTTATAGGCAATGAACTGGATTCTAGACACAAAGGAGATCTCGTCGGGGGGAGTTGCTGAATAAATCCGAAACACTGAGAAGGCTGAGGGACAGGATGAACAACCAAATTCAGCAGTCTGTAACCAGAATACACATATGAATAGAAAAATCCTGGTAACTTATTATTGAGTTATACTACAAAATAAAAGAATTTAGTATCCCGTTTATTCTATTCAGACTTCTACATTCACTGGTAAATGTGATATGACCACATGAAAATATAAATTTAGTCAAGTATATTAATGTAATCCAAACTTCCATTAGTGCAAAAAGTCAGACATTAATTCGCAGCAAAAAATTAGAAATTGCAGATAATAGATTTAAAGGAGCTCTAGTCATCTTGACTCTCTTTTACCAATATTTATAGAGTCCTCACTATGTGCCACACATTTATTTTCAAATGAAGATGCTAATGATTTAAAAATACTAAAGAAAACATGGCAAGCTTCCCTAGGAATCCATTTACTAAAATTCACTTTCATCAACACATAAAATATCCTTTTACCTCCATGTGATATACATAATGAATATTGGCTTATTTGACCTTTATGGTTCTGATTGCAACAACGATCAGACTGACAAAAAAATTTATTATTTTTTTTTCAACTTAATCCATTGACAAAATAGAATCTCAAGATTCTACTAAGTGGTTTTCCATAATGTCCTGGTCCCAGTTCATAGGAAATGATAAACTGACCTCACTAATGACTTGTATTAAGCATGTATAGTCCAAATAATCTTTAAGACTTAATTTACAGATAAATAATGTAAGTGAAATTTTATTGCAATTTCTAGTGGATCATTTGCACAAGTCACTTCTTTCTCTATTTCCTAATAAATAGTCTAAGAATACCTTTTTATTTCTCCCAAATGCCAGTGTGGCTCAGCTGAGAATAACCAGAAAAGTGCAGCATGCTTTGGAGCTCAGAAATAAAAACTTCAGTTGCTGTGCCTTCCTTGTCATTCTATCCCTTGTTCAGTCAAGATTTTTGCTATTAGGGGTGGCAGACCAACACAGATCATAGTTGCTTTAAGACCCAACCTATAACCCAGTGAGGAAATATTTACAGGAAGCATTTTCTTTTCTTTTCTTTATTTTTGTTTTTTTTAAAACAGAGTCTCACTCTGTTGCCCAGGCTACAGTGCTGTGGCATCAGCCTAGCTCACAGTAACCTCAAACTCCGAGGCTCAAGTAACCCTCCTGCCTCAGCCTCCCAAGTAGCTGGAACTCCAGCTAGAATCACCACGCCTGGATAATTTTTTTTTCTTTTCTCTTTTTAGTTGCCCAGCTAATTTCTTTCTGTTTTTAGTAGAGACAGGGTCTCGCTCTTGCTCAGGCTGGTCTCAAACTCCTGACCTCAAGCGATCCTCCTGCCTCGGCCTCCCAGAGTGCTAAGATTACAGGCAGAAGCCACCGGGGCCCAGCCAACAAGCATTTTCTTATGCAGGGTTTTCCCATTTGTTATTCTGTACCAAGCACAGCCTTCAGATTTCCACTAAACCCAGAATAATCAATCAGGCTGCTAGACATTTCTATTTTCTATTCCAATTCTTCCTTTCTTACCTCATTTGAACTCAAATTCTGTACTTATAAACAGTTTGTTCACTTTTATACTGAGCTATCCCATGTGGTATTTTGTTCAATGGCATTGTGTTAATTTATGTCTAAGGTGCCTATTTATGAGTGACTGCTTCTCAAAACCAAGGCCTGTGCAACAAGTGGAACCTACTGAGTCAAACCAAAATTCTTATATTAAAACAAAACTTAATTTAGGATAACTTAATTATACTTAAAAATTTATATTAAGTATCAAAAAATTTTTAAATATATTTTTTGAGAGGAAATGTTATATATTACACTAGGTTTCAGGATTTCCTCCACAACTTTTAGGACCATGATATAAACAAGAAATGCATTTTATATAACACACAAAAACCAAAACATAAATTAGCACTTAACCCTTACCACAGGCGTCCTCAAACTACGGCCTGCGGGCCACATGTGGGTGTTTTTGCCCATTCATTTTTTTACTTCAAAATAAGACATGTGCAGTGTGCATAAGAATTTGTTCATAGTTTTTTTTTAAATTATAGTCTGGCCCTCAACAGTCTGAGGGACAGTGAACTGGCTCCCTGTTTAAAAAGTTTGAGGACCCCTGCCTTACTATATGCATTACCCACTGATTTATCTATTCTACTCTTTCATTGAAAGATATATTAGTCAGAACCCATTATATTTACTTACTACCCAGTAATGCAATCTAATAATTAAAAAATACAGAATTAGGGAAAGAAATTATACTTATAGAGGATAAATATTCACATCTCAACGGGCTCTCTTCCATCTGAGTTAATACTGGATACAAAAGGTTCTCAGGCTGGGTACAGGGGCTCATACCTGTAATCCTAGCATTTTGGGAGGCCCAAGCAGGAGGATCACTTGAGCCTAGGAGTTCTGAGATCAGCTTAGGCAACACAGTGAGACCCCCATCTCCACAAAAAATTAAAAAAGCAGCTGGGCATGGTGTTGTATGCCTATAGTCCTAGATATTTAGGAGGCTGAGACAGGAGGATTGGTTGAGACCAGGAGTTTGAGGCTGCAGTGATCTACGACAACACCACTGCACTCCAGCTGGGTGACAGAATGAGACACTGTCTCAACACACAAACACAAAGCATTCTCATGATACTTCTTTAGGTCCTGAGGCCATTACTGAAAGGTCTTTAAACTTTTATTACTGCTCCTCAGCTAAACCTCAAATCTATCAAAGTACAAAAGGACCAAGAAAAAGAGACTTGTAGAAAAAATTAGAACTACTAGTAGGAAAAAAAAGCCTATCAGTAATTATTTTCATTTAAAATATCTTACATTTTTATGAGACTAATTAAAGGGAAACAATCTAAATCTAATCCTCAAAATTGGAAAATCCTTTCAAACTTTGAAAATACGTTCATCATTACACACTTTATAAACACTTTTGGCTTCAATTGTTTATATGAACTTTTCTCAATTATCTTATTCTTTGTATCAAAAAGTCAGATTAATTTTATTCCCATAAAATAATTTTGCCTTTGATAAAACTTAATACAAAATTTGGAATGATCATAGGCCTATTCAGGACAAAGAATCAATACATCAAGAGACACTTTGTTCTTTGCTACTGATACTCTACTGACAATTTCATCTTAGATATAATACTATTTTTCTAACAGCATAGGTAAGATGTAATAGTATTACTGCATCTGAAGCTACACAAGACTGAAATTTCAGTAGGCTATGTTGAATAGGAGAAAGCTTTAATATGAGCCAACCAAGATTAATTAGTAATTAATTATAAAAACAATCTTCAGAGATCAACTAATAAGAAGACAATGTTAAAGTTGTTAATGGTTTATTTAGCTCATGGTTTTAATAAAACAAACTTTGCTCCTTTTTCACTGAGCATTCTGAAATGATTAAGCAGAAACTTTAAGTATCCTATCGGCTGATGTAAAATTTCCTAAAATTACTATATTGCTCAAATTATAATAAAAAGCATTAAAATATTCATTTAAGAATTTAAAATAGTATCTGTAAAACTTTAAAGATAATTAAAAATTATAGTTGTAATTATCATCTAACACTGTGTCATTAAGAATAATAAGCTCTTACCTAGAAATTTTTTGTGATGTTTTTGAAACTGGTGTTCCAAAAAATGCCTCAGGTAGTCCTGGATCTGGGAGTGAATATATTATACGAGATGGCTCTTCTATTTTAGGACTACAAAGAAAATAAAAATTTGATTTTGATTATGTATCCATCACAAGGAGCACTGGATTAGATGGGAGAGGAAGGGGTTTTCATTTTTTACTTTGTATATTTCTGCATTATTTACAAATAACAACATGTGTCACTTTTAAATGTAAAGATAAAAAGACATTCTACTTACAAGAAACATAGCCGACATAAAAAGAGTTTTTCCCCAGCCTGGGCAAAAGCGAGACCCTGTCTATATAAAAATTTAAAAAGCTAGCCAGGTGTCATGGTGTACACCTATAGTCCCAGCTATTTTGGAGGCTGAGGCAGGAGGATCGCTTGAGCCCAGGAGGTTGAGGTTTCAGTGAGCTATGATTGTGCCATTGGACTCTAACTGGGGTGACAGAGCAAGACCCTGCCTCCAAAAAAAAAAAAAAAAAAAGTTTTCCCTTTTTACACACACTAATAAACTAAGGCAATTGTTGATAAATGCTGCTGATCTCCAAGGAAAATTACTATGTAGAATGACCAGAAAAGGTGTAAGAAAAACATACCTATTATAAAGTGAGATGCTATTGTTAGGCTCATTGTTTGCCCAAACTTCTCCAATTTTAGATAATACATTATAGATGAAAGCAGATCTTGATAATACAGTTCCTCTTACAGCTTGCTTTGGAACTGCAGATAATGGTTTGGGTCTAGAAACTGTAAAATGAAGAATGTAGGATTTAATTCCATTTCTAACAAACAGGATATTAATAAAACAATATGAAAGAAATGATTAGAAAAACAGATCATATAGTATTAAAATTATATTTAGCTTAACTACAATACACAGAAATATAACAATTTAGGCTTTTAGGAAATGAAACACAGCACAACTGTGACAAATCTGAGTACAGGCATGCCTCGTTTTATTGGGCTTTGCTTTATTGTGTTTTTTGTTTGTTTGACAAATTGAAGGTCTGTGGCAACCCTGCACTGAGCAAGTCTGTCAGCATCATCTTTCCAATAGCATGTGCTCACTCTACCTCTGTGTCACATTTCAGTAATTTTCACAGTATTTCATACTTTTTCATTATTATTATATCTGTTATGGTGATCTGTGATGTTACTATTGTAATTGTTCTGATCACAAACCATGCCCATATAAGATGCAAACTTAATTGATAAATGTGTATTTTTTAACTACACCCCGACTGGCTGTTCTGCCATCCCCCTGCCTTCTCCTCAGGCTTCCCTATTAACCTGAGTCAAAGCAATATTGAAGTAAGGCCAATTAATAATCGTACAATGGCATTTAAGTGTTCAAGTAGAAGGAAGACTTGTACATCTCACTTTAAATCAAAAGCTAGAAATGATTAAGCTTAGTGAGGAAGGCATATCAAAAATCAAGATAGGCCAAAAGCTAGACGGTTAGCCAGGTTGTAAATGCAAAGGAAAAGATCCTGAAGGAAATGAAAAGTGCTACTCCAGCGAACATATGAATAATAAGAAAACAGCCTTATTGCTGACACAGAAAAAGTTTGGTGGTCTGAACAGAAGATCAAATTAGCCACAACATTCCCTTAAGGCAAAACCTAATCCAGAGCAAGAACCTAATGATCTTCAATTCTATGAAGGTTGAGAGAGGTGAAGAAGCTGCAGAAGAAAAGTTGGAAGCTAGCCAGAGGTTGGTTCATTAGGTTTAAAGGAAAGTCATGGTCTCCATAACATAAAAGTACCAGGCGAAGGAAACAGCAAGTGCTGATGTAGAAACTGCAGCAAGTTATCCAGAAAGTCTAGCTAAGATGACTGATGAAGGTGCCTACATTAAGCAGCAGATTTTTGATGTAGATCAAATAGCCTTCTATTGGAATAAGATGCCATCTTTCATAGCTAGAGAGGAGAAGTCAATGCCTGGCTTCAAAGGACAGGCTGACTCTCTTATTTGGAGCTAATGCAGTTTGAGGCCAATGCTTATTCGCTATTCTAAAAATCCGAGGGCCCTGACAAATTATGCTAAATTTACTCTGTCTTTCCTCTATCAGTGAAACAACAAAACCTGGATGACAGCACAGCTGTTTAAAACATGGTTTACTGAATATTTTAAGCCCATTGTTGAAACCTACTGCTCAGAAAAAAAGATTTCCTTCAAAATATTACTGCTCATTCATTGACAATGCACCTAGTCACCCAAGAGCTCTGATGGAGATATATAAGGAGATGAATGCTGTTTGCATGCATGCTGACACAACATCCATTCTATAGCCCATGGATCAGGAAATAATTTCAACTTTCAAGTCTTATCATTTAAGAAACACATTTCATAAGGCTATAGCTGTCATACATAGTGATTCCTGTGATGGATCTGGACAAAAGAGATTACCTTCTGGAAAGACATTCTAGATACCATTAAAGAGCATTTGTGAGTCATGGGAGGGGTCAAAATACCAACAGTAACAGAAGTTTGGAATAAGTCACCCTTATGGATGACTGAGGTCTTCAATACTTCAGTGGAGGAAGTAACTGCAGATGTGGTGGAAATAGAAGTGGAGCCTGAAAATGTGACTGAATTGCTGTAAACTTGAACGAATAAGAAGTTGCTACTTACGGATGAACAAAGAAAGTGGTTTTTTGAGATGCAATCTACTCCTGGTGAAGATGTTATGAACATTATTGAAATGACAACAAAGGATTTAGAATATTACATAAATAGCTGATAAAGCAGCAACAGAGTCTGAGAGGACTGACTCCAATTTTGAAAGATGTTGTGCATGCTACAGAGAAATCCTTTATGAAATGAAATGAGTTAACCAATGTGGCGAATTTCACTGTTAATTGCCATGGTTACTACAACCTTCAGTAAAAGCAGCCGTCAACAGAGAGGCAAGACCCTCCACCAGCAAGAAGATTATGAATCACTGAAGGCTCAAATGATAATTAGCATTCTTTAGCAATAAAGGATTTTTAAATTAAAGTATGTATTTTTTTAAGACATAAGGGTATGGCCGGGCGTGGTGGCATGCCTGTAATCCTAGCACTCTGGGAGGCTGAGGTGGGTGGATTGTTTAAACTCAGGAATTCAAGACCAGCCTGAGCAAGAGTGAGACTCCATCTCTACTGTAAATAAAAAGAAATTAACCAAAAAACTAAAAATAAAAAAAATTAGCCAGGCATGGTGGTGTATGCTTATAGTCCCAGCTACCCGGGAGGCTGAGGCAGGAGGATCCCTTGAGCCCAAGAGTTTGAGGTTGCTGTGAGCTAGGCTAACACCACGGCACTCTAGTCCAGGCAACAGAGTGAGACTCTGTCTCAAAAAACAAAAAAAAAAGACTTAAGGATATTGCATACTTAATAGACTACAGTATAGTATAAACAACTTTTATATGCACTGGGACAGTAAAAAATCAGAAGACTTGCTTTATTGTGATATTCACTTCATTGTGCTGGTCTGGAACTGAACTCACAAGGGATCCCTGAATGTATCAGCAAAAGTGAGCTAAATTTAAGATAATGGTAGTTTCAGAAAAATAATCATTCAGTATCTTTTCTAGTCCAGTAGTTTATGATATCCTTCAATGAAATCTTACCTTCTCGAAAAACTGATGATATTTTAAGATGATAAGGCTTAACTCGTTCAATGGCTAATTTTCGGTGGACTCTAGGAAGGATTTTTCCATATTGGTCTAATATAGAATTTCGAGCCACTGATCTCTCCCGCAAACGAGGATCACGATCATTCTATTGAACATATCATAATTGGTAAAAATTTAATTTTCAAAATATTAGGTGCTATATATATTTACCATTTAAGATAAAATTATAAATATTCAAAAATATCTCCCTCATATCTACATATCCATTTTTCCAAACCAAGGACTACATCCACACAACTAATTGCCTTATCAATCTTTACCCATCAATGAATTCCAAATCTCTGCTACCAAGCCTTAATTCTTTACAGCTATTAAAAACAATGGTTATCATTTATTAAGCATCCACATGTGTTAGGCAACATGCTACTTTACATACACTCCGTTCATTCTCACAAGGTATTAACCATTTTACAGGGGAAACCAACATTCAGAGTATGTCCCAAGCACATAGAGCAAAGTAAGAGTTTGTCTGACCCTTGATGTCCAAGGCTCTTTGTACTATTTCACTCTTACTGTTTTTACCTCTTCCTATTTCCCCTGAATGAAATGGTTAGTATGGCAAAATTATAGGTAGGCGTCAGAATATAAAGGGCATATATAAAAGAATTAGATAAGTAATAATACCCTGTTCCCAATTCTGTTACAAAGATTGAGTAGAGGATTCCCCAAGTTCAAGGTAACGTAAGGCACAGTGGTTACCAAACTGTAAGCTGTTACATAATAAACCACAAAAGTCTGCAGTTTTCCTTATTCTCTTGTCCCCCACAATAAAACAACTTTAATCATACCATAAGATTAATCTTCAGAGTTTGGTTCAGCTTCAAGGCAGGGACATAATTGGCCCGCTGCAAATGATGAACTAAAAGGAATTCATGATTCTGAACACTGGCACTGGACTGCAAAAACTTCACTAAACATTCCTAAAAAGAACAAAATAGATTTAGAAACTATTGATTTAGCCTGAATTTCTGACAACTTTATACTGTTAAGTAATTACCTGCTCAGTGTCTGTAAAAGGTAACTTCAGTAAATCCTCCATTAAGCCCATTTCCTGACAGACTTCATATGTGTGCTTTAGTAACTCCTCTAGATTCAAGCTATTAGAATGTTGCCGCAATAAACTCCAAGCTTCAATCATGCACCTGAAATCATTATTTATCAAAGTTTAGTTTTAGAAAAGGTATATAAATGTTTACAACAAGTCATCTACCTATAGAATCTCAAAGATACTTTATAAATGTAATTTAAAAGTACTTGAAAAATTTATTGAATACTAAGTGCTGTATAATGAATCTTGTTAATAATGTCAATAAGACATCATTAAAGAATTTTATGCTGCTCTTTAAATATAAAATAATAATAATAATAATAAAAAGCACCAAAGTACATGCACAGAAGTGCAAAGATGACAAAAAACTAACATGGCCTGAACAGAACTAAAAGATTGATATGGTATGACAGAGGCTTCTAAGGAAGTGACACTCCGAAGAGTGGAAAACAGTATAAGTGAAGACCTACAGGTGGAAACAAACATATTGTGTTTATGGGGAGGTGAAGAGAAAAGTATAGCTTAGTAGAAGATTATGATGGATTCGCAGATCTGATTGGAAAACCTCGGGTCAAATTTGACCATCTCAGACACTATGTGGAGGTGCTGAGAGGTCCCTCTGTGGGCAGTAAGACTATTTAAATGAAGCAGTGTTTCTTACACAGAAGTCGCTCAGAATCAGGTGTGGACTCTGAGAACTTAAAGAGAAAAAAAAGCCAGTGTTCAACTCATACTCCACTGACAGGATCATCTTGGAGGTTCACTCAAGTGTATCTACACACACAAAAATTACACATAGGCTATGACCCAACAATCCCAATGCAAGGAATATAATCTATAGAAATACCAGAAAAAATGCATAAAGATTTATGTTTACGACTATACAGTGATACAATGGATTGTTATATAGCCCAATATGAGGCAGATATATATTAACTTAAAATTATGATACATTAAGTTTAAAAACCAAGTTCAAAACTATGTGAATAATGATAATTGTAAAAATTAACAAATGTTTATATATTTATTTAAGTAGATAAAGTTCTGAAAGATATACACTAAGATTGACAATGATTAATCTGGCAGTTAAAATTTTTGGAGAGGCTGACAACTTTCAAGGCAGAAGTTTTGGAGAGGCTGACAATCTTTCAAGGCAAAAGGAGAGGCTGACAACTTTCAATAAAAAATGGCAAGTAGAGAACATAAAAGTCATAGCAGTTAGTACACACTAGAAAAATTCATGTGAGGAAATTTTACAGCAGCACTGTCTCAGACTTCTTGTGGATACAAAGTTGCTTGGGGAAGCAAATGGCACCCACTGTTGGCTATCTGTTAATTTTGTTGTTCTGGGACTAGAATATCTTCACACATTCTGTAGGTCTTGTAAGGGCCAACAAGTCAAGAAAGTAAAATGGTTAGTGGTATTTCCTAAAAATTTACATCTGAAATTGCCTTGTACTTACTTCTCTTTCCACCAGAATAGGCATGACAGTGTGGTCATTATAACTTGAAAGTAGAAAAGGAATGTTTACCTGTGTGCACATGTGCATGTGTACAGAAATAAAATAATTTTTTCCTAAACCAAAATATGGTAGTGTTAAGCAGATTTTTGTAGAAAAAAAATAAAGAGGATAAGATAAACATGCCATTATTAATTTTAAAAATCATATACAGGAATAGATGAAAGTATGACAAAATCTTGATAACTACTCAATTTTATTTAGGATGGGTATAGGGAAACTACATAGTATAATTCTATTTTTTTCAAAAAATGCTATACCAAAATAAATTTAAGATGAATCAAAAATGTAAATAAGAGCAAAACCATAAAAATAGCAGTAGAAACTATAAGAGAATTAAAAAAAACTAAAGTAGAAAAATAAAATACAAGTCATAAATAAAAAATATTGACAATTTCAATTTCATAAAAATAATCTTCAGCATAGCAAATCCATGGCAAGTAAAATGACAAATGACAAACTGAAGAGGGGTGGGAAAATCTCACAATAAAGGTTAATTTCCCTAATGTATAAAGAGCTCCTAGAAATCAGTAAGAAAAGTTCCAACACAGAAAAAGAGGCAAAAGATTTAAATAGGCAGGGCACAAAGGAAATAGCCTGTTAATGAAAAAGACACATTCTGTTATTATTACAGTTAGACCAAGGAACATTAATATTATCAATTACACCTATCAGATAAACAAAAAATATAACATAGTATTAATAAAAGGCATGGTATAAGGCAATTGAGGCGAGGATTAAATTGGCATAAACCTTATGGAAGACAACTTGCCCTATCTATCAAAATTATAATTGTAAATATCCTTTCAGCCTATGATTTTATTCTATAAAATGAATTTGCACATGTGCTAAATGTGTGGTTATTCATAACGGTGGCATTGTTTAAAATGTTAAAAGACTGACACAATCTAAATGTTCATTCAGAGGAATTAATTAAATAATGGTATATCCAACCCATTTAATGAACTACTAAGCAACAGTTAAAAACAAGAAAGCTCTTTATATATTCTTATAAACTAAACCTCAAACTAAATGAAGCGGACAAAACCATATTACAGAAGGGTGTACAGTATGCCGTATTAAAAAAAACAAAAAGAGGGAAAAAAGACATAAATGAATTTGCTAATATCCATCCAGAAGATCTCAGAAAGGATAAACTAGAAATAATTAACACTAATCAGGTGCCAGGAGAAAACTTAGGACGCTAGGGATTCACTGCTATCATTTTGTACCTTTTCAACACTGAAACATGTAAATATCTTATCATTTGAAAAAACACACCAAAACCCTCCATATGCTTGACTCTCTTCCTCCCCTAGCACATGGGTATGTGGTTTTTTTTTAAGTTTTTCACTTTGTTCTTTCCCAGTTAGTTTCCCCTGTAGCAGGAAAATACACAGCTACCTCAAAGCTTCAAGAAATCCATTGCCAACACTTACATAAATTTTAAAATAAGAAGTCCCCAAATTCTTACTATTCTCCTGCTCCCTGTGGTAGAAAGTCACGATGCTAGGAAGGGCAGTAAGAAAATTATTTCAGAAAATAAAAGCTTAGGCTAGTAGGCTGGTAGCAAAAGATACTGGCCGGGTATGGTGGCTCACGCCTATAATCCTAGCATTCTGGGAGGCTGAGGTGGGAGGATTGCTTGAGTCCAGGAGTTTGAGGTTGCTGTGAGCTAAGCTGACACCACGGCACTCGAACCCAGGCAAGAGAGTGAGACTCTCTCTCAAAAATAAATAAATTAAAATATTAAATAAAACACATAAAAGTTATTTTAGTAAGGAATGTATCAGGGTTCTTGGCAATAGAGCAGAGAAGATAGCCTGAAAAACTCTCCTGTGACAAACTCTAAAAAAGGCCAGGCTGAAGATAAATAGTCTTTTGAAATACACTGTGGAGACCACAATGAAAAAAAGCAATTCCTGATTTCTAGTAAAATCTTTTAGCAGAATAAAAGTAAAATGACTAGGAAAGGGCATAGAGGGTATAAATAACAGAATATTGGTATAGCTACATTAATAATTACTCATGATAAAGACTATTATATAATAATAAAGGGTTAAAGTCATTTAAAAAAATTTAAACACTTATTTACCTAATATTCAAAATATAAAAAGCTGGCCCAGTATTACAAGGAACTCACACATAAAAAGTAGGCAATTTAGCATACTTTTCTTAATGACTTATTAAATAGGCCAGGAAAAATAATTATTAAGGAGACAGAAAGATTAAAACCATGCAATGGCCTGGTGTGGTAGCTAGCGCCTGTAATTCCAGCACTTTGGGGAGCTGAGGTGGAAGGATTGCTTGAAACCAGGAGTTAAGAGACCAGCCTGGGAAACACCGAAGAGGTCACATCACTATTAACAACAACAACAAAAAAAACCCCACACAATGAGCAAACTTAATCTTTTGGACAAATATATTCGACACTTCACCTAATAAATGGAGTCTACACTGACTACTTACTAGTGGGTAAATCAAGTCTTACCAAGTTTTAAAGGACAGGTACGATACAGATCACAATGTAATCACAATACAGTTAAGTTAGAAAACAATATGATAATTTTTACATCCTGTATTTATAAATTAAACTTCTAAATAACTAATAGGGAAAAGAAAATCATAATGAGAATATTAAAATATTTAGAACAGAATGATAATTAAAATTGTGGGATGCTGCTGAAGTAATATATAAAACATTTTGATTATTTTTCTATAAGTAAAGAAAAAGACTAAAAATGAGATAATAATCCAATTTGAGTTAAAAAGTACGGCAGAATAAACCCACATAAAGTAGAAAGAAGAATGAAGACAGTAATTATGCCTATACAAAAGGGTTTTCCATCCCCATGGACTGTAGAGAAGAAAAAAAAAAAACAAAAAAACAAAAGGGTTTTCCAGCTCTTTTGTACCTTTATGATACTAAGACTGAATAATCAATGGTAATGGCTCAATATCACAAGCATTTATTTACTTCAAGTCTATCATTGTATATCATGTTAATTTGCAAGCACAACTGCCAAGCCGTAGTTATGATGCTATGTCCATAAATATGGCTCAAAAAACTGAAAAGCTACCAGTGTAAAATTGTTAAAGAAGCAGAAAGACGATCTTAATAATAAAAAAGAGGTGGTAGAGGCTAGAGGCAAGTTAGGTTTAATACATGATGACAATGATGGTTGATTTTTTTAAAAAAATCAGTCACTACCACCATTTATTAATAATACCACCTGCCAGCACCTGTAATAATTCTTATGCCATTTAACCCTCAAAATATTGCAACGTGAGCCTTATCAATCCCATTTTATAAATGAGAAAACTCAGGTTCACAGAAGATAAACTGCTTTCGATCATATTTTAGAAAGTGGTACAGTTTAGGTTTAAATTCAAGTCTATCTGAGTCCAAAGACTGTGGTCTTAACATTTTTGCTACACTCTGGCTGTTCTAATAACATTATTTGTAAGGGTACAAATTAATAAACAACAACACTAACAAATTAACAGTTCAAAAACAGAGCAACACCTCACTTATCTCATATAGTATGAGTATGGGGAGGGATTAGTATTATGATGGTTGGAATATTAAAACCTTTTCAGCCATTTAAACTATCATTATGCAGTCACAACATCTGAGTGTTAGACCACACGATGTAGTCTAATCTCTCTCTGTTAGTTCAAATTTCCCAAACAGCCTCCACCCATGATTCATGCACATACTGATTCATCACTCTGTTGGATTAGAGATGTAGGTATTTGAAGAAATTAGGTGATTATGTACTGACCACAGGACATACCCAGGAACTTTGTTTTTTTGAGTAAGTCCCTGTAGGTCAGCTTGTTTTCTTGTCATTTGCTTCTTTCTAATAAAAGTGGAGTGTAAATTATGCTGTACATGATCTCCTGGGCAATGAAACATGGCTGCTTTTTCCAAAATTATCAGTTGAAAAATAAAAGCAGCTTTCTCCTAAGGTGTTTTTTTCCTTCCAATAAAAACTATCACCTTCACCGTCTTAAGGGTATTCTCTGACTTTTTAGTCATTCTCTATTTACAGGACCAATAATTATTTTTAACAGTTTCTGAATCTGAAAACAAGCTATCTCACAAATGGCATTTTGAGTGATTGTTTTTATTTCTGCACTTAACACTTAATGTGCTAGTTTTCTAGGGACTAGAGAGTTGAGGTTTTACTCTCTTTAAGAGAAATAACATTGGCTGGGTGCGGTGGCTGGTGCCTGTAATCCTAGCACTCTGGGAGGCCAAGGTGGGTAGATTGCTCAAGGTCAGGAGTTCGAAACCAGCCTGAGCAAGACCGAGACCCCATCTCTACTAACAATAGAAAGAAATGAATTGGCCAACTAATATATATATAGAAAAAATTAGCCGGGCATGGTGGTGCATGCCTGTAGTCCCAGCTACTCGGGAGGCTGAGGCAGTAGGATTGCTTGAGCCCAGGAGTTTGAGGTTGCTGTGAGCTAGCCTGATGCCACGGCACTCACTCTACCTTGGGCCACAAAGTGAGACTCTGTCTTGGAAAAAAAAAAGAGAGAGAAATAACATTTAGAAATTAAATTATTTAGTGTTTGTCTACCATATGGCTAAAAGAGAGGAACTGAGAACCTAACAAACCAGAGAAACATGCTAGGAAGAAACATGCTAGGAGGAAACATGGATGATGAATCAAAGGAGGATAACGGAATCAAAAAAAGGAAAAATCGGCAACCTTTCAAAGATGCTTTTTTCTAAGGTTCCAACATCTGCTTTTCTGATATAAGCAATGATGACCAAGTACCAACTCTTTAAAGTCACTAAGGAGAAGCTACACGCAACTTTAAAAAATTTACATGCTGGCTATCTACCCAGTACAGAACTCTTAACCCATTAATTCAACAATTATCACATTTAGCTTCTTTAAATTTCTTTTTTTTCCTAACGTAAAGCTTATTGAAACTACAATTTTAATCTCATAAAAAATTTGATTCAGTGTTGATTCTACATTAAACTAGCTAAACACTTCTGCTAAGCCAGATTATTTTAACAAGTACTTCCCAATTCATTACTTACAACAAAATTTGAGGTAAAATGACTAATTTCTAAAAACATAAGTATCAACCAATAGGGCTGGGGAAAAAACCCAATAAAGGTTATGTAAAATAAAGTTACAGCCTTATAAGAAATTTTAGATCCAAGCAATTTCCCCAGCTAATTTAATTAATAAGAAAACCCAATAAATAGACCACCATATTTCCAATCATGCTAAGTAATTAACCTGTCAGTTACTATATAGGTGAGAAATATAACAACTACAGCAATATGTATACTGCTATTTTTTGCTATTTTTTTAGAGTGCTGCTCTGTTGCCCAAGCCAGAGTGCAGTGGCATGATCATAGCTCACTGCAGCCTCAAACTCCTGGGCTCAAGCAATCCTCTTGCACTGGCCTCCTAAAGTGCTGGGATTACAGGCTTGAGCCACACCCCCCAGCCTGTACTGCTATAATATAAATGGCAAATATACTGATTAAAGAACATTAAACTACTGCATTGAACATGAAATCTGATACTTTCTTAAATCATTTAAACATATCATTGGGCTGGGCATGGTGGCTCATGCCTACAACCCCATCACTTTGGAAGGCCAAGGCAGAAGGATTGCATGGGGCCAAGGAGTTGGCAACCAGCCTGGGCAACATAGTAAGACTCTGCCTCTAGCCCCCGACCCTCAAAAAAAAATTAGCCGGCAATGGTGGCATATGCCTGCAAACCTAGCTATGCTAGGGAGGCTGAGGCAGGTGGGTCACTTCAGCCCAGGAGTTTGAGATTACAATGAGCTATGATTACACCACTGCCCTCCAGCCTGGACAAGAGAGAGACCCTGCTTCTTAAAAAAAAAAAGAAGAAAAAAACACATGCTTCAAGATTTTCTTTCTATGAGAATGTAATGGTAAATGCAATAACAAAATTCAAATGTTAAGAATTCAATACTCAAGCGACCAATGTTAACAAAAATATCAAAGCACCATCATTGAATATAAACTCTCAAAGAATACCATTTGTCAACTCTATTATTCCCGACTCCTTTTCAGCATAATCAGCCCTCAAATGTCCACGCAGAAGACTGTCAATGTTGTCAACTAGCAGCAGATATAACTGTAAATCAGTTTGGAGGCCCCCCTTTTACTCAAGGTTATTTCTTCTCTTATTCTAGATAAAAGGTGGTGTATGTTTTTCTTAACACTGAAAGATCAATATGTAAGCAAAACAATATTAAGTAACACAATAAAAGGAAAATACTATAGAGTCCCTCAGTAGCCTCATGGGGATTGGTTCTAGGACCTCTGCAGATCCCCAAATCCTCACATACCAAACTCATGACATCAGCCCTAGGGAATCCAGGGAAATGATAAGTTGTCCTGCCATATACATGGGCATGGGTTCCAAATCCCACAAATACTGTATTTTCAATCTGAGTTTGGTTGCAGACGCGGAACCCACCAATACAGAGGGCTGATTCAGTTTATTGAAAAAAATCTAAGTATTAAGTGGATCTTCGCAGTTCAAACCAGTATTGTTCAAAGGTCAATGGCATATTGCTACTGTCTATTTCATCAATTCCATTTTATTAACATATATGATCAAGAGTGTATACTTTCAGAAGAAGTACTTACCTATTAAAAAGCAAAACACTGAGGTGAAGGATAATATCACTACTACTGGACACTGTTGGCTTCATTGTTTGAATATATCTGAGGGCTTGTCTGTGCTCGCCCTGGCTCATGAAGGCCTGAATAATCTTTGAATGTTGCCATGACACAGGTTTTGCAGTAGCTGGATGACACAGAAGATCCAAACCACTCTGCAAAAATGACATGAGAAGTGCTTAATATAAATATAATCCTTTGAATTTAGACAAAGTAGATACCCTTTAAAAAGACAGGTGAAGTCTAGGCACAGTGGCTTATGCCTGTAACTCCAGCACTTTGGGAGGCTGAAGCAGGAGGACTGCCTGAGGCCAGGAGTTGGAGGCCTGCCTGGGCAGCATAGTGAGACCCCTGCCCCTATAAAAAATAAGGAAAATTAGTCGGATGTGGTGGCATGATCCTGTAATCCCAGCTACTTGGGAGGCTGAGGCAGGAGGATCACCTAGCCTAGGAACCTGAGGCTGCAGTGAGCTATAGCACCACTGCACTCCAGCCTGGGCAATAGAGCCAGACTCTATCTTTGGGGGGTGGGGATGGGGACAGGCAATACTGAAAACCACAAAAATCAAGATAAAACCGATTTAAATGTAAGCTGAAAGGATCTACTTTTATCTATGGTATATAGCCAGCTCTCTGTATCAAGAGGTTCTGCATTCAGATTCAACCAACTGCAGATGGTAAATATTAAAAAAAAATAAAAATAAAAAATAACACAACAATGAAGCACACACAAAAAATATATAGCAGAACTATTATATACCATTTAAATTGTATTAGGAGTAATCTAGAGATGATTTCAAGTACAGCCATCCCTCAGTATCCATAAAGGACTGGCTTTCAGAAACTCCAATAGATACTAAAATCCGTAAGTACTCAAGTCTGTGACATAAAAAGGCACAATATTTGCATATAACACACATATATTCTTCCACATACTTGAAATCATCTCTAGCTAACTTAAAATACCCAATAAAATGTAAATACCATGTAAACAGTTGTTACAGTGTAATGTTTAGGGAATAACAACAAGAAAATAGTCTGTACATATTCAGAACAGATGTAATTTTTTCCTTGAATATTTTTGATCTGTGGTTAGTTGAATCCACGGATGTAGAACCTATGGATATTGAGGGCCGACCGTATACAGGAGGATGTGCACAGGGTATGTACAAATACCGTGCCATTTTACACAAGGAATTTGAGCATCCATAGATTTTGGTACGTTCGGGGATCCAAATCCAATCCCCCACAGATACCAAGGGATGACTATATTTTAAATAATAAAGACCATATGAAAAGCCTCATACCTTTGAGACCTTGTTATGTTATTATATAAAATCTTTTCATTACCAATTTCATACATCAATGCCAAATCCTGCTTTCTATGATTCACCTAATATAACAATCACCCAATTTGCTGTGTATACTTGTTCATTTCCTTCTTCAGACAGTTCAGAACCTGGGGTTCTGAACTGTTGGTTATCTTTGTATTCCTGGTGCCTATGATAGTTTGGTGAAGGTACTAATTAAACTGAGTCCTTCTTAAATTACGGCTAGAAGTAGATTATAGCATATCTTTAATAACAACTTAACCTAGCTATGTATATTTTCTAAAATTCTAATTGACAAAAGCTTACACTCTAGGTGAACTAACAGACTTACCTCATAGTCATTATGATCTATCAGCCAAAACCCTTGAATAAGTTTGACCTGGCCCCAAGAAATGGCAAAAGCGGTTGGAAAAGATTCAATGGAAGAATCTGTTTTGTTTGGAAAGGAATACATAATATCAAGTAGCAAATAAATAGTCTTTAAAAAAAGAGGATTAAGGATAATAAACGACAATTTTAAAAATCCTACATATATATTTAGAATAAGTTGCAACACAATGTAACATTAAAAGAAGCTTGAAAGACTTTTTAGTGTTCAGAAAGCCGTGGATATCCAGTATAGTTTTATTAAATGTGGGCATAGCCAGTTCTATACCAACTTTATTCATTCTCAATATTACCACTACCACAAAGGAGATGAAATAAGGCATACTTTCTTTATGAACCTAGTAGCTTAGCAAATTTAAGAAACAAAAGCTGTAAGCAAAATTCAGGTTATCCAGCAAAAGCTGGCAGCTTAAGAAACACATGATCTATCTTATAAATTATTAATGGAACCATTCATTTTTAGAATAAGAAACTAACATTAGGGTAAAAATATTATCACAAAGACTAGAGGATTCAAACAATGCCTAAGGTAATATGAAGCTAACTTATAATGCATTCATTTTCAGCATGTAGGTTGACTGAGAATGACTACTTGCCGGCAATATTTTAGGACAATTGTTTGCAACCTTTTGAGTGTTTTGGATACATTCAATAATCTGATAAAAGCCGAGAACTTTATCCCTACAAAAACAAACATAAAACAAAATTTTGCTTTTAGGTTAATCATAGTTTATATATATAAAAAATTTTATATTTTAGAATATATTTAATATAGAGTTTTATATAAAACATAAATATAGTTTTAATCATAGGCCATCAAAACCCAATCAACAGATCCTGGGTCAAGAACTCTTCTTTTAAAACAAACTTCAACCTTATAATTAAGATTGAATTAGGTAATCCCAACACTCTGGGAGGCCAACGCGGGAGGCTTGCTCAAGGTCAGAAGTTCAAAACCAGCCTGAGCAAGATCAAGACCCTGTCTCTACTAAAAATAGAAAGAAATTAATTGACTAAAAATATATAGAAAAAAATTAGCCAGGCATGGTGGCACATGCCTGTAGTCCCAGCTACTCGGGAGGCTGGGGCAGGATTGCTTGAGCCCAGGAGTTTGAGGTTGCTGTGAGCTAGGCTGATGCCACAGCACTCTAGCCTGGGCAACAGAGACTGTCTCAAAAAAAAAAAAAAAAAAAAAAAAAAAAAGGATTAGATTAGTTATGTGAGATTTGTGAGATTTCTACTATTCTGAAATTTTATGATTTTGATAATATATAAATATCTGATGAAATTTTATTTAAAGGATACAATAGAATGCTTGCTTGCTTCAGAGATGTTGTCTAACAGGTATATGTCAAGTAGTGCCTATAAAAGGAAAGGATATAAACTTCAGTGTATTTTATACAGTCATTCATTCATTCACGTTCTTTGTTTTCCCAAGCCTGTGCCACATGAGAAAAATATAGTTAAGCATGTCCTCCCACCTCAACTTCGTTAACTCTTTTTTTAAGTGATAGCATGTTACTGCAAACCTACATGGAGACTAGGAGGAGGATATTTTCCTGTGCCTCCTTCATCCCGTTTCCACAACTTCTCAACTCGATCTCCTAACAGAGAAACCATTCCATCAATCATCAAGCAATCAGGGTTCCACTTCCCTCTGCAATAAGGGAAAAATGAAGGATTATTTAATATTAGTGTTAATTACTATGAAAACACCAAGCACTAGACTCTTAAAAGTAATAATCCCAACCATCAAGGACAGAAGACAGTTGAGAATTAGACCTCATTTAGCATCATGAGAACTCCAGACATCAAGGATAGTTACTCTGAAGTTGACTCAAGTTCACTTATCAGCAAGCCAGAAAATCAAGGTTAGGTCTCAGGGCAGAATGTGGTTTAGCAAGCCAAATGCCTGAGACTATTCTATTTTTCACCACCTTCAGCAAATTACCACAGATTATGGCAGCCCCCATATAGTATAAATACTGTAGTCCAAAGTCACAGAGATATAATTTGTTTCATCACTTGGGCTAACTTCAATGATTCCTTCATTCAAAAAAATATCATTGAGCACCTATAATGTGATAAGCAGATATAGTTCTTGTCTATTTCCTTATATAATATTATTAACAGCAGTCACTTCTTATTGAGGTTTTCCTATGAGGCAGGAATTATTGAAGGTGACCTATACAAACTATTTTATTTTTACACTGACTTTATAACATATAACAAATAGGAATAGAAATCATAACAAACCTGCCCAAGGACATACACTTTCACTATCCTAGATTAGTTATCACAAAACACTGCTTTCCAAAATTTGCCATGCATTAGAATTATAGCTGGCACAGCCTATGAAGTACTGATTCCTAGGTGATTCTGATGTAAGAAACCTGGAATCAAGGTCTGTGGATCATCTTTTTAAATGTTGTCTGCTGCTCTACAATTTTGTCATTACAACTTGAGGAAAAAGGCTATTTAACTATAGAAGTAGGGCCAAGGATCTAAATACTACTCTTTGTTCTTCTATTACTTTCACTTCATTTCAAAGGAACCAACCAGGCTATTTTTTCTTTTTAAAGAGAGAAATAAAATAAGAACAACAACAAAATGAATGTGGCTGAAGTGTTGAAAAGTTATGTGTAATGGAACAAATGTAAAATAACTTTAACTGATGATATATTTATGTTTTTTTGATGAACAGTGGCTTCTAGTCTTTTTCTGAATAAGAATTCTCAGAAGAAAACATGCTTAAATTACAGGCTCTCCCCTAATAAATCACTCATAGTAAATAGTTTTATTTAGGAAATAAGGAGTACCTATACCCAAGTTCTAAAATAAAGGTGTATTAGGTCAAGGCAAATAATACAACTAAAATAGCAATGCTAGTAACAAAATTCTGATACTTTGCTGAGAATTCCACCCATTTAGTCATTTTGTAACATGATGAATTCTGTTCTGAGAAAGTCTGACTTCTTACAGAAACAATTTCTAAAATGTGTTTTGAAGATTTGGATGTACTATACCTTGACATACGCTCACACTTCTGTCGACGACTGGTATAGTAGTTCTGAATTACAGGATAGCTGTAGCATAACCTTGACAACTGCACAGCATCATCTAGATTTTTTTTTAAGAGTAGGAAAAAAAGCTAGTAATATTTCCAAAATATCTTAAGAATACTTAAGATTACCCACATTGATATTTTACTGTAATTTTCTAAGGCTATTTAATCTGCAGGCTTGCTAAATTGAAATAACAAAAATACTACATATCCTTTTATTTACAGATGCACAAGTGAGAAAACAGTCTTTCATGAAAGTCTTTAACAACAAAGATGCTGGCTGAAAACCCTGGAAACTATTCTAAATAATTTTATTTCTTAGGCACAAATGATATGAAAGCAAGCAATGTTCACTATTTGTTCAAATCAAAATCTATGAGAATTATGAAAAAAATAAGATCAACAACAATTATGTGCAGTGGCAAAGGCAGCTCTAAATAAAATTGAACGTGCTTCCTGGAAATGTAAGAAGTTGAAGGCTTTATAAGTATGTTCTTAACAAATATAGTAAAAGTCAATATCAAGAATTCTCAGGCTGAGCACAGTGGCTCACACCTGTAATCCTAGCACTCTGGAAGGCTGAGGTAGAGCTTGAGCTCAGGAGTTTGAGACCAGCCTGAGCAAGAGCAAGACCTTGTCTCTACTATAAATAGAAAGAAATTAGCCAAACAACTAAAAATGGAAAAAATTAGCCAGGCACGAGGGCCATGCCTGTAGTCCCAGCTACTTGGGAGGCTGAGGCAGCAGGAGGATCACTTGAGCCCAGGAGTTCGAGGCTGCTGTGAACTAGGCTGACACTATGGCACTCCAGCCCAGGGAAGACAGTGAAACTGTCTCAAAAACAAACAAACAAACAAACAAATAAAAACAAAAAAAACACCACCTCTAATTCTTGGTGCTGGAATTATTAGATATAAACAGGTTAAATTTAATTGATGACAAATAATATTAGTTGGTAACCATATTAAAAAGACTCTTAATAAGAAAGAGATCAGCAAGTTGGGTTATAAAAACCAGAGTTCCATGATCTATAGTGATATTGTTGAACCACCTGTATAACAGGCATGAGGTGAGGCACTGAAGATACTAAGTAAGGAAGAACATAAGAAAAGAAGGTAAGCATAGAAGAAACCATAAGTAATTGGAAGAAAAGAAACCTGAAGCATCATAACACAACAAAAAAAACTATAAAGTTTTGAGAATGTTTCAATTAATATTATAAATTAAGTAAGTATTATATACCTAAGCCTTCTGGTAAAAGTCCAGAATGAGAGAACCAAAGAACCACTTGTGCATATTGACAGATGAGCTGGGTAACGGTATACTTATTGCTTAAGTCCATCAGTCCTGTAAAGAGTTAACATCAATTGTTTAACTATTAATTTAATGACTACAAATGAAAAATCAAGATTCTCAACAGTTTTCACAAACTAATTACTTAGTGGCTTTTTATATTTCTTGAAAAAATTTAGTTTGTATCTATTTTATTTTGGTCCAAAATGTCAACCAGATCTCCAAAATGCTAAAATAAATCACTAACTAAAGTAGACATTTTAGGTAAATATGCTTCCATTTAGCTAAAATGCTTCCATTTTAGCTATATTTTCATTTAGCAAATTTCAGAAGTTAAATTTATACATCAATACAAACTAGTATAGTATCATTAAAACAGGTCATTCAAACCAAGCCTTTAAATGAAATTGGCTTTTGTTTTGTTGAAATTGTAAAACAAAAAGAAAAATTATAATGACTTCTTTGAATAAAAACATATACACAATTTAACAATTTGAAATTCTGCTGGAAGTATACAAATCTTTAACAATCATTAACTTTAACTCCAGAATTCCCCAAGCCTATTTAAGCATGGGCTCATGGCAAATCTAACATTTTATAGCTTTCTATTTAAAAAAAAAACAAGAAAAAAAAACCCACTAGCATTTGAGATCATGTCCTCTTTACATAATGAGCCATCTAGGACATAGGAACTTTTATTCCTTTCACTAAGTCAAAAGTAAAATTTAATGAAACACCCATTTGTATAAAACAAAGAACACACCTCTCTCAGTTATCTCTTGGGCTTCTGATGTAAAACAGCTTAAGACTGTATTTAGGTTGCTAAGAAGCAAATAGCACTGCTGGATAGACTGTATAGTTTGTGGATCAATGAAACGACATGAACCATCAAATAATGGTGTACCTTTCAGGAATAAAACAAAAGATTACTTTCTACACAGCAAATCTGAAATAAATTAAAATCACAAAAGCAAAATTTCTCAAATTTCATTACTCAAAAGAATTATTCCATATATTATGAGATTTACAAAGACAAGCTAAAAATGGAAAATACTCTCAATAGAACTGAAAAGTGCTTTCCATATAAAACTAGCAAGAGTCAAGAGTGAAAATTTAAACTCAATCTAGATCTAAAGCCTATCCTCATAATCACTACACAACAAAAGACAGAGATTTGCTTTAATGAATAATTATTAATACATTAAAAGTTAGGCTGGGCCTATAATCCTAACACTATGGGAAGCCAAGGCGAGTGGATCACTCAAGGTCAGGCGTTCGAAACCAGCCTGAGCAAGAGCGAGACCCCGTCTCTACTAAAAATAGAAAGAAATTCATTGGCAAACTAAAAATATATTGAAAAAATTAGCCAGGCATGGTGGCGCATGCCTGTAGTCCCAGCTACTCGGTAGGCTGAGGCAGGAGGATCACTTGAGTCCAGAAGTTTGAGGCTACTGTGAGCTAGGCTGACGTTCACGGCACTCTACCCGGGCAACAGAAGTCTCAAAAAAAATAAATAAATATAATCCCTCTTTAAATCAAATTCTAATTTGCTTTACTCCTAAAATGTTTAAAACATACATACTAACAACCATATAATCTATGAATTTGGTTGAACTAACTTTTTAAAATAAAACATATGTAATTAACTCCAACTAACATTTTTCTTAAAAAATAATTTTTAAATAATTCTTAAAACATTTTTATCCTTATCCTGAATTATCAGGTGGTCTTCTAGACTTCAGTTGTACTGAGTGATTACTGAAATATTTAAATTATTTCACATTTAGTTTCATAAGTACTATAGGCCTAAAAATGCTATAACTCCTATGTTTTCCTATCAAATTTTGTTGGTGTAAAAAAAATCTGCTAAGAATAACTTAAGTGTTAAAAGCTATTTATAGTCAAATGTCTTCAGAAGTCCCTTTGTCCATTCATTATGACAAAAGAAATGACTAAAACACATACACCTAAATAAGCTTAAATTTTACTTTAATTTACAGTATCATCATATATCTTGAATTAACAGTACTGTTAACATTATTTTTGGACTAATTGGACATGATGGCTTAGTATAATATTCATAATACTCCAAAAGTCAAAGTGTACAACAGATTAACAAGACAGTCAAGAAGAAAAATGATTTGCCATGATGATAATAATATCCGTTCGTGGAGGAAAGGGTGATATATTTTTACCCTGCCATTTGACTTCATCATTTCAATCAATATTTTATTTTAATATTTTGTAGAGACAGGGTCTGGCTATATTGCCAAGACTGGCCTTGAACTTGGCCTGCCAAAGTGCTAGGATTACAGGTGTGAGCCACTGCGCTCAACTTCTATCAATATTTTAAACAGAAAGTAAGTAGAAAACCTTCTGAGGTTTACTGGCACCTTGCCCTTACTACATCATCAGCACAGTTTTCAGATTAAACTCATAAAACTGAAAGATAAGGTATAATTCTAAAACCTCCTATTCTGAGTATATCACCATGTTGCCAGTTTAACAATCTAATGCAAAATCTTGGTCAAAAATTACTTTTGTCCGCTGGGTGTGGTGGCTCACGCCTGTAATCCTAGCACTCTGGGAGGCCGAGGCAGGTGGATCATTTGAGTTCAAGACCAGCCTGAGCAAGAGGGAGACCCCCCATCTCTACCAAAAACAAAAAGAAGAAGTTATTTGGACAGCTAAAACTATATAGAAAAATTTAGCCAGGCATGGTGGCACATGCCTGACATCCCAGCTAATCAGGAGGATCGCCCAGGAGTTTGAGGTTGCTGTGAGCTAGGCTGATGCTGATGCCATGGCACTCTAGCCCGGGCAACAGAGTGAGACTCTGTCCGCCAATCAATCAATCAATCAACAAACAAAATAAATAAATTTACTTTTGTCACTTTCATGTAAAAAGAAATAGTTTTCTTCTGAGACTTCTTCAAATTTTAAGAATTTACAGCGTCAAAATGATTAAAAGTTACTGTGTATTTAAAACATAAACCAAGATTAGTTTTTCAATATTAAATTGTGCCTTAAATCTAGACTTATAATACTTACATAGTCTGTCAAATTCCTCTTTTGTTAGAACCACTTTATTCCATGTCCATTCAAGAACAAAGCGCAAATTAGCAGCAGAATTTGGTTGTTCTTATTTTGTTAATATGAAAGAAAAAATAAAAAGTTATTACTAACTACAAACAGAAAACTAGCAACTTTTCAGTAAAGAAACATAGCAGACAGCACCTATACCCAGAGAACAAGGTTAACATCAACATTTAATGGAGATAAATTGATGCAATGTATCCTTCTCAGCACATCAAGGTTCATATCCTTTTAGGTAGTACTGCTATCAAAAATGTAAAACCTGGATCTAATCATGAGGAAACAGCAATAACACAAATTCAAAAGCAGTGTACAAAATAACATACCTATATTATTTAAAAATAAAAAAGTCAATTTCTTGGAAGATAAAAATTTAGAAATTGTATAAGATTAAGAAAGATTTAAAAGACAATACAAAGCATGATTCTGAACTCTCCTCAAAAAAATGCTAGGAAGGACATTACTGGGACAATTGGCAAGATTTCAATATGGTCACAGTGTTAATTTTCTTGATTTTTTAATAATCACCAAGTGGTTTCATAAGTGAGTGTCCTTATTCTTAGAAGAAAACAATACTGAACTATTTGTGTGTAAAGAAGTCTGATGTCTTATTCCCAATTGGTACACAACAAAACATAATGTGTGTAATGAGTGAGAGTGATACACATAGCAAAGTAGATGAATCCCTAGACAATTTTGCTAAGTAAAAAAAGTTAATCCCAAAAGGTTACATATGTTTTCATTTATAAACATGTTTAAAATGATAAAATTATAGAAATAGTAGTTGCCAAAGGTTAGGGATGGGGGGATAGGAATGGCTATAAAAGGGCAACATGAAGGACCCCGTTATAATATATTAAAGGTTTGTCAGATTGTACCTCTGGTGGAAAATGTGGTGAAGAGTATACAAGATCTCTCTGTATTATGCCTTAAAACTGCATGTACATCTACAAATACCTCAAAATAAAAAGTTTTACTAAAAACACCCAACCAACAGTGAATTGATAATTTTAAATACACAATACAAACATTTTAATTGTTAAAAATCAGAATCTTACCTTCTGTTATCCACCTTTTGATACAACCGGTCAAAAGTCCCAAGGAACTTGTCTGAATTGCTGCTGACAATATAGCTTCTAACTGTTCTTCCTAAACCATGCATTAAAAAAACGAGAGATATGTAAAGAAAGAGGATATGAGATCACAGACAGCAAGTTCTAATTCAGAATAAAAAAGTTTAAAGACTGAAAAATCATTATGACCACTAGGACGGCTATAATCAATAAGATAGATAATAACAAACATTGGTGAAAGTGTGGAAAAACTGCAGCCTTCATACATTGCTGTTTGGAATGTAAAACGGTACAGCCACTTGGCAAAACAGTTTGGCAGTTTCTCTACATGCTAAACACACAGTTACCACATAAACCTGCAATTCCACACCCAAGTACACATCCGAGAAAAATGAAAATACCATGTCCATACAAAGTTTGCATGAAGGTTCATAGAAGCATTATTCATAATAGCCAAAACGTGGAGACAACCCAAATGCCCACCAACTGTAGATAAACAAAACAGGGTATACGCATACAAAAGAATATTACAAAGCCATAATGGGATGAATTACTGATATTTGCTATAACAGATGAATCTTTAAAACACTGTGGTAAATGAAAGAAGCCAGTTACATAAGACTACATATTATTTGATTTCACTTATGTGAAATTTCTAGAATAGATCAGTCTGTAATGACAGAAAGTAGATTAGTGGTTATCTATCCTACTGCCTCAGCCTCCCGAGTAGCTGGGACTACAGGCATGCACCATCATGCCCAGCTAATTTTTTCTATATATATTAGTTGGCCAATTAATTTCTTTCTACTTTTAGTAGAGACAGGGTCTCACTCTTGCTCAGGCTGGTCTCAAACTCCTGACCTCAAGCTATCCTCCCAACTTGACCTCCCAGAGTGCTAGGATTGCAGGTGTGAGGCACCTTTACCCAGCCAAGATAAAAATTATTAATCTGTTACTGACCCACTTTACATATGAGCAGACAACCAAAGTCCACCAAACATTTGAGGATAACCACCAGCATCAAAAAGACCAAAATAATATAAGAAAAATGACTCCATAGAAAAGATAGATAATGCTGAAAACAAAATAAAACTTTAAACATATATGGAAGACATTTTATCCATAAAAACAAGAACAAAACTCAATGTAAAGAGAATCAAAGAATAAGAGCTCACAGAAAAATGGAGGTCAATTTAAAAAAAAATCTGATAGAAAAAAAGGGAAGATAATAATAAAGCAATGCCAGCCCGAGCAAGATCCCTGTCTCTACTAAAAATAGAAAGTAATTAGCTGGACAACTAAAAATACATAGAAAAAAGTAGCCAGGCACGGCAGCACATGCCTGCAGTCCTAGCTACTCGGGAGGCTGAGGCAGAAGGATTGCTTGAGCCCAGGAGTCTGAGGTTGCTGTGAGTCAGGCTGACGCCACAGCACTCTAGCCCAGGCAACAGACCAAGACTCTGTCAAGAAAAGGAAAATTAAAAGAAAAAGAAAAGTCACAGATGTAGAACACGAAATAAAGGCAAGAAATTAACAGTTGGAAAGAAACAATAAGCTATTAGAAGATCAACTCTGGTTAGACAACATTCACATAAGGTTCCATAAAAAGAAAAATCAAAATGAGGGGAAGTACAATAAATAAAAGGAGGGGGGAAAGGGAAAAAAAAATATCCTGATGTTTTGTTTTTTTCCAGCTGTAACTTTATTCTACCTTCTCCAACTTCAGAGTTACAACCTTAGAGGACAGAGTATTATGTGGAGGGATGGTAAAGACTTGATAGGAAAAAAAGTGATAATGACATGCCCCACGGTCCATTTCTGGGTTTCTTCCCAGGGAGATTCAAAACCTCTAAAATAAGGTCAAATAACACAATAGGCTTGTACTTGCATCACCAGCTGTTAAGAAAGCGTGCGTAGGTCTCTGACTCAGACCAGGTGTCCTCCTCACCATGAGCAAGGGCTGGTGGGGAGGACACTCCCAGCCTTATTCCAATAGTAATAAATAACCCTGTGGTATTAGCAGCTCTGGAGACTGGCCCACGTGTGACCGTCCACTGCTACCACTGTGGAGCCAGGCCAGCCTCATAGCCTTCTATCTTCATGTCATTGAGCCCTAGCTCCTCGTTTTGATCAAAGGTGCACTCGTAACGCTCCACCTTCATCTCAGGATCATCTTCGGGTGCATACACATTCTGCAAGTAACTGTTTCCTGCTGGATCATCCATGATAAAGTGGGCCTTCATGTTACCCTCAATGATCTGGTCCAACTTCTGGCTAAACTCCTGCAGTTTCCATTTGGCCAGGATTGGAACTGCCGCCCAGTGTGAAAGGGTTCTTGGTCACCAGTTCCCGGATGTCTTTCAGCAGTCCCTCCAGTGTGGTGAACTTGCCCCCGAGGAGAGCCATGCCCAGTTCAAATTCTAGCTCCGGAATTTCCACACTACACGTCTCAGACTTGAGGTCTCTGGTCATATCTGAGGGATCTGTGATGTGGAACGTGATCCTGGTGCCCAAAGGCTCTACCGCTCCTCCAGATTTCACCTCATTGGTCCAATGCCCACAGTTCTCGCAGTTGGTAGCCATGATGATAACTTCCTTAAAGTGAGGGATTTGTACTAGCTTCATGTTGGTCTGAGCCGGTGCATTGCATTCTGGGCAGTTTGTGTTGAATTGCAGAACTTCATTTCTGAGATATTCCTCTTGTGGCTTCTCTGCTGGAGCTTCTTCTTGGAGTTCCAGCATCTCTTCTTGCAGTAGGGTCCGGTTGTAGTGTGTGATCACCAAGGCATCATCTTTCTGGGGAGCATGGGGGTTTTCCACAAAGCTATTCCCTGCAGGATCATCAATAATCAGAGTGAAAGGGGTGGCCTCTTGCTTTAGGTCCTTCAGTTTGACAATGAACTCATCAATTCTCTCAGCTGTGGCATCTTTATTTGCCCTTCATGGGCTGGTCCTCCTCCAGGACAAAGATAGCACAGTTGATCAATCCTTCAACAGTGGTCAGAGCTCCCTTCTGGCTGAAGGCAGAAATTTCAAAATCCAGCTTAGGGATCCTTGTGGTGGCAGACCCAGTCAGTCTTCACTACTTCTCTGTTAATGTCCTCCTGGGCCCTGATAGTCAAAGTGTAATGCACTCCCTGGTCCTGGATCCTGCCTGCCAACTGGATCTCTGTGTTGTTCCAGCCACAGTGCTCACAGGAAAAGGAGCTATTATTTCTCTGAAGAAGGGGATCTTGGGGAGCAGGAGGCGCGTTATGCTGTTGCTGTAACAGTTCATGCACAAGGACTCAATCTTAGTGAGTTTGCTGCTCCTCGTCCTCGGTGCTGATGGGCCGGAACAAGCGTCCCAGGGCGAGCAACGGGGCTGGGTCAGGCAAAGGGGCGGTAGTGGCCCCCGGGGGTGCAGTCTTCCACGGCCCCTCTGGCCACCATCACCACCACGCGTAGCCCAGGCCTCGGCTTCCCTCCTGATGTTAATAGTATTCAATGTTCCTCTTTACTTCCATGAAATTAAGTATTAAATTCTAACTCTGAGTGCTGAAATATCAGCGACAACATTTACATTTCATCTGATATTTAAAAGTCTCTATTACTAGCAACTCATTATATTACATATCTATAATTACATAAATAATTTAAAATTACTTGGGGAGAAACAGTTACTAAAACTTTCCCTTTCTCCATGGGAAAATGATCTGAGTTTTACTTTCTTCTAACACATTTAGCTAGCAAATACTGAGTTAAAATAAAGATAAATTTACCTGTGTCACCAGGCAACTCTGCTTATTCTAAGAATGTCTCCTAATTGGGACTAGTAGAACCATGAGTGGACATTAACTTCCATTAGGAAGTTAAGATTTTTGGCTTCCATGACTGAGTCTAACTCCTGTAACTGATCATGTCTTTAGCTGAAGGAACTTGGAATATTACTAATAGGCTTTCACAAGACACTGGTTTCTACAGAACAATGGTTATCAAACTACATCCCACAGAAGGCATGTTAAAACATAGATTGTTGGGCTCTACCCCCAGAGTTTCTGATTTAGTAGCTCTAGGGTAGGAGCCAAGACCTTGCATTTCTAACAAGTTCCCAGGTGAAGCTGATGCCAGCTTCACTTTGTTGATGCTGGTGATGCTTTGTTCACCAGCTGATGCTTTGTTGCTCTTAACCACAAAATTCACCTAATGTGATCTTTCTTCTCTTGCACCTACGCTGTTCTCTCAGGGGGCTTGAAAATGGCTCCTAGATTGCAATAAAGACTTCTGTTTATGACTGTAGTCATGATGTATTTCCAGTCCTATATCCTTCTAAGTGAACCTGCTGTCAGGTTAAGGCCTAGTGGGTCTTAGGAGTACGAATTTTAAGCCAAACCCAAGACCGTAGCTACTGATCATCCAGAGTGGGGTGTTACATTACTTCACCTACATTTATAGAAATTAATAGATTTTTTTATATAATAGAAAGCTAATAATATGTGATCCAACAGAAAGAAACAATATAGTTAAAAATCATCTCACTTGACTTAAACTGGAAGGCTGAATATCAATAAGTCTTGGTGAGAGAAGGCCAGCTATGAGACATCGATTATAACCATCAGGAATGACTTCATTGAGAGATGGCCCTGATTTCTTTAAAAAAGTCAAAGTCTGTAATAGATAAATAAGACATCAAACAATATTCAATTAAAACCATCAAATTTAAGAATTAATAAATTACACTTTAAATTTGAATAAAACTAAAACACCAAATGGAAATTATGAAAGACTTCATTTTCTTGCAGAGAAAAGGGATTGGTTCTTGCACTAACCAATGCCTACTAGTTATGAATGGTAATACTATTAACAAGGGTATTTTAGGTAGCATATGTTCTTATGAATGGTAATCCTGTTGTCTTTAAAGCTGATAGACTTGGTAACATCTTGACAAACTTGACCCACACAAAAAAACCCTCCTGCAAGTGATTCCTCTTTAGCTAATGTAAAAGAGACTTGATGTAAATCAAATTCATTCATCCACATCTGACTGATTACCAATTAAAAGGTCTGCCACATCATCTTCCCCTAGAAAAGTATTTATTTTTTATTTTTATTTATTTATTTATTTGAGACAGAGTCTCACTCTGTTGCCCAAGCTAGAGTGCCGTGGCATCAGCCTAGCTCACAGCAACCTCAAACTCCTGGGCTCAAGCAATCCTCCTGCCTCAGCCTCCTGAGTAGCTGGGACTACAGGCGCGCGCCACCACGCCTGGCTAATTTTTTCTATATATTTTTAGTTGTCTGACTAACTAATTTCTTTCTATTTTTAATAGACACAGGGTCTCGCTCTTGCTCAGGCTGGTCTCCAACTCCTGACCTTGAGTGATCCTCCTACCTCGGCCTCCCAGAGTGCTAGGATTAAAGGGGATTGTCACCTATCCCAAGGCCACAGACAGATACATAGGATTCTGGATCTCAGGGTGAGTCTGGGAGGTTGAAACCCTGTGAAAGGCAGCTGTGACAGGTGGTGTCTGTCAGACACTAGTTTCTGGACTGGCCCTGTTCCTTTCCCAGGTCTGGGCAGGGAGGGATGGCAGGGAGCTGGCTCAGGACAACACTGGGGGAACCTGAGTTGGGGCTGGCCCTAGAAAAGTATTTTTCAACATATTTTTTTCTTTTTTCCTGTGCCAAGCAATGTGCCACTGTGCTAGGTACTTCTTTGTATTACCTAATTTCCTCATAGGCTTTCTGAGGAGACTTAAGAGAGAAGATAAACAAGACTGTGATAAAGCACTGACCTACTTCACTCTTTTCCTTGGGGTTCAAGTAGCTAAAATCCACATGAAGCTATTAAAAACATCCCACTATCCCAATGTGCTTCTGGCAGGTTTCATTAGTAACTGATGCTACTAGCTGCTAATCTCATAAACCTAGCAGAAGCTACCACTTAAGATGAAACAACTGCCTATATAATTAACACTAAATAAAGTTTAGATCCATGAATTAACTATCTTCTAAAATGTGAGTTCAGTTCAATGAAGAAATTCATTCCACATTGCTAGTTGTTACCTACCTCCTTCTGAAAGCCAGTACAAGTTACATGAACAACTCCTGAGTTTAACAAACAAGTGGCATCTAAAAAAAAGATTTAAAAAGTTCACTTACATATTATACTTAAAATGGCATTAATACAACAATATTTTCCAAATAACAGACCGCTAGGCAAATTGTCCAATTATTACATAAAATAAATTTTAAAATAAACTTTCCCATGTATTTCCATCCTGAGAATAGATAATAAACCTTATTATCAAAATACAAAAGTACTAATTGTGAAATAGTATCTTTTCTAGCAAATTCAAAATAGTGATTTCTTTATAAAACAAATATTAAATTTCTCATATACATATATCAAATTAATTTCCTAAGTTATCTATATGTTAATTAACAAGAGCTAGATATGAACAGATAACAGGACATGTGTAAACTATACACAAATATACACACCTACACACTTTTGCATGTTACTTTTCTCAAAAGGTAATGTTAACGAAATACATACCAAAATTATAAGTGCTTGGGTTAAAATACTGCTCAGGAGGTGGATATGAAGGAGGAACTCCTCGACTTAAACTTCTCTCATGTATTAATATATCCAAGATGTAATGTGGAGAAGTCCTATTTACAACGGAATCCAGTGACCACAAAGCAAAATAAGAGCAATTATGTAGATATTCTCCAGATCTAAAAGAAAATTTAAAATGATACTAAGTTTTGATCAGCAACACATAAAAATACCAAAAAGAGAGAGAAAGAAGAAAAAAAAAAGGAATCATACCTTAATGAATCTGGCATTTGTGCATGATACCAACGATTTATGTCAAAAAGTCCCAAATATATAGAAGGCTTTCCCTGTCCATATATATTCACTTGCCAGGTAAAGACTGAAACACTAGTATCAGGAGATAGAGCTGGGAGAAAAAAAAAGATTAGAAGATATATAAAATGGCCAATAAATATATGAAAAAATGTTCAACATCACAGATCACCAGGGAAATGCAAATTAAAACCACAATGAGATACCATCTTACTCCAATTAGAATGGTTGTTATTAAAAGGTTAAAAAACAACAGATGTGGTGAAAAGGGAGCTTATACAATTTGTTGGTGGGAATGTAAATTAGTATTAATGCAACCTCTATGGAGATAAGTATGGAGATGTCTCAAAGAACTAAAGTAGATGTACCGTTCAATCCTGCAATCCCACTAATGGGTATCTACCCAAAGGAAAAGAAATTATTAAATCAAAAAGACACCTACATCCCTATGTTTATCACAGCACAATTCACAATCGCAAAGATATGGAATTAACCTGAGTGCTCATCAATGAATGGAGTGGATAAAGAAAATGTAGTATGTATTCAGCAATACGAAAAGAAAGAATGTCTTTTACAGCACCTCGGATAGAACTGGAGGCTATTATCCAATGTATAGTAACTCAACAACAGAAAACTAAATGTTACATGTTCTCACTTATAAGTGGGAGCTAAACCATGGCTATGCAAGGACACACAGCAGTATAATGGACACTGGAGATTCTAAAGGAGGGAGGATGACAGGAAGTAAATAAGAGATAAAAAATCACCTACAGGGTACAATGTGCACTCGAGTGCCATGATGGGTACACTAAAAGCCCAGACTTCACCACAATACGATATACACATGTAACAGAATTCAATTTGTACCTCATAAACCTATTACAATTTTTAAAAAGGAAAAAAAACCCATTTCTATCATTTGTATGACAGAAGAGATTCATTCACTTATATCTTGAACATTTCTCTATCTTAAGACATTATTAAAAAGTAATTATCAAAAATTTTATCCTGACTTGTTTTCAGTGGACACCTGAGCAACTTTGAGGTATTAGAGGCAGAAAGTAGGAAATGAATTAAATGAATAGGCTTCCAAGGATGGTACATAACTAGTACTACAGAAGTTAATTTACTACCTAAAATGGATGCCTTTGAGTGTTAAGGTTTAATTCTTTAGAGGAACCTGGGCTGGGAAGGACTGATCTAGTTATATTGTAAAGGTAAAAGAAAAGACAAGTACTTGGATTGTAGGTGTGGGATGGAAAACAGGAACAGATTAAGAGATATCAAGAGGTAAAGACAGTAAAAATCTGAGCCACTACAAATTGGAAATAGAAAAAGGAAGATTGTGAATAGGGAATAAAAGACAGAGCTCATGACAAGTTCTGTTTTTGACATGTTTAACTGGATCACAAATACAGATGTGGGAACTAAGACAGATAGCATTTCTGGACTAGATATTCTTATGAATTCATTTATAAGAAAGAATTCCAATAAGAACACAAATACAACCAGGGTCCTGGTGAGCATTCAAACAATTGAATGAGCCTACCATGTTATCTCATTTAATCTTCACAGCCAGCCTCTGCAAAAGGTATTATTCCCACTATATTATTCTACTTACAGAGGGGAAGCTGGACTCCAAAAATATTAAATAATTTGTCAAAGCTCATAACTAGTGACAGGGCTGGAATATGAATCAATGCTGGATTCAAAAATCTATGCAACTTTTACCATGCTAGGATGTTTTATCAGGAAGAAGGGATGACACTAACGGAGACAGAAAAAATTCAAGGCAACCAAGGCACTTTTTGCCATATATGCTCAAAAAATACACAAAGGGAAACATTATTCAAAGACTAGTCACACTAGTTAAGACTAGGGACCATCTTTGTTTTGAGAGTTAAAGTAAAAGGGTCACTCATTACCCTAATCTATTCAATTCTTTTTTTTTTTTTTTTTTTTTTTGGAGGAGAAAGCCGTAGCAAACAATGTGTGTATGTAGCGTTTTATTCTCTTGAGTTATTTTTATTTTTGAATATCTTCCAAAACACCTGTTTGGTCAAAGAGGAAGTAAAATTATGAATCTATATAATTTTTTTTTTTTTTTTTTTTTTAGC